ACTGGGAACATGCCCCTCGGCCAACTGCTGAATGATTTTTTTGGAGATCAGTAACAATGCACTGAGATTTGGACTGGAATAATGACAAAGTGTCACAGAGAAATGGAGACAAATTGCTAGAATAAGGGGATACAGTTAAAGGCCCAGTGTGTAGGATGTAGGGGCATCTATTGACAGAAAAGGTATATTATTTTCCTAACTATGTTTTTATTAGCTTATAATTACCAGGAATTAAGAATCGTTACACTAAAAGGAGTAATTTTTATCTATGTACTAAGCAGGTCTTCTTCAGTGGAGTCAGCCATGTTGTTCTACAATAGCCCAAAAGGGACAAACTGAACACCGGCTCTAGCTAGGGCCATTCAGGTTTCTAGGTCAGCCACTGTAGTTCTCCTACACGCCCTGCACACGGGAGAAGTTTCAACCTCAAATCCTCTAAATACACACTGGACCTTTTTATAGGATAGGTTTGGATTCTTTAAAAAGTCTTTTAATACAATACTCATGCCTGTATGTGCATTGGGAGCTAATGGTCACTGCAGCCATTTCTCCTGTCCATAAAGTGATCACGCCTTCACTGTAAGAGATGAGACAAAATTTTGCCAAAGCTCACAAGTTTAATAATGAAATCAAGTGGCTTTTTAGAGTAAAACTCATTCTTTGTTTTCACATAACACCAGTACAACTCTGCAAGAATACCCTGTCTAAAACACAAAGGGAGTTTGTGCTAACAGTAAAAGCAAAATTGGAAGATTCCTGAACAGACTGTTGAAGTTCATGATGGATTTCACTCAGAACAAGAGCTATAGAAGTCATTGCTTCAGAGCGAGTATGGACAGGAGGAATGATTACAGCAAACAATAACTCTAATGTGTATATTAGTGTGTGAGTAATGTATTAAGATAGACTTGAAAAACTCCAAACTTACACCTATATAAACCTGCATCAAGTGACTTTTTGACCACTGGTGTGAGTGCCACAAGCTGTGAACACAACAGGGACATATCATCACCATACAAAGGCAAATAGTTGCCTATTTACACAGACACAGAGAAACATTAGCATTTAGCTCTAGTTTGGTCTCCACCCACTCCTGAGAGAAGTTTTTCTTTACATGCTGAATGCTCCACCATCTTCACCAGCGCGCGCTATATTAAATAATAGGGCACTCAGACAGCGTCAAACAACGCCAAAATACGTCCACTAAAAGTGCATTTTTTTCACACAGATAGGCTCGGATTGTTAGTATAATCCGACAACATAACGGAAAGGAGAAATGAACGTCTGTGTTTACCTTTAGCTGGATTCAGACATGTTCCTCTGAGCTCTGCATCCGTGTACTCCGTGTTCAAAAAAATACAGGCAGTCATCAAACTCAAATGGCTCATCCAGATCCAGTTGGTCAAAATCGGGTAAAAATTCAGTCATGGCTACTCCGAACAGAGTAACTCCTCGTGTTTGTAAGGTCACTCCAGCGGTAACTTCCTGCAACAACTCAAATCTCGCATGATGTGAGATTTCAGAGCCAGGCTTTCACTCTGAGTGAGTGTTTTGACTTGCTGCAACAAACATGTCCGAATTTTTACCTGATTTTGACCAACTGAGTGTCTGAGTGCCCTATTATTTAATATAGTGTGCGCTCACGGGCTGCAGGCAGGTCAGCCCTAGCTTCGTACTGGAGAAATGTCAAATATTGAACATCCTATCACTCATTAGACAAACGTAGATCGGAAAATTGGGCCCAGATTGAAAAAAACATTAGTTCCCCTTTAAGACTAAGAAAAGGTGATTTTACTTTCACTTTAGCTAGAGACAGTGTGATCCATGCCAGAGTCCCATTGTATTGATAAATCACACTTTGCAAGGATTGCTTGGGTCAAATAAAATGCTACGTCGAGCTGGTAAATCTAGCAAGTGGTCCAAAAGTATTTAACATTTTGTTTTTCCAGAGCTGATGATGGCACAGCAAAATGGTACAGCAAAGGAGAGGAGAGAGGAGAGAGTTGCACATGCACAGTACTGATCTGGTGCTCAGGTGAAACTGGTGGCGGGTAAAGACAAAGTTTATGAGTTGAAGCGCAATGAGAATTTCAATTATGCTGGAAACAGGAGTGAAGTTGTATGGCAGTAGAAAATGTGGGTGAAACTCAGACTATGTATTGCACAGTTTGCCACAAGTTTGGGAGCAAGGCGGATACAAGAAGATTGTTTTTCAAACGCACATCAAGTTTCCAAAAAACGTAGCCGAAGTGCCATAACAAGAGCCAACAGCAGGGCTGCCCCTCCCTTCTTTACTCTTTATTGTTATTTGATAACCACTAATGAATAAAACAGTTTGTATAGGGGCAAGTAGAAAAAAACTTTGGACATGTGGGTCAGAAATCTACTTGGCTGAAGTCAATTTGTACATGAAATAAAAAAAAACATTAATATTGAACCCTGTAAATTCATTAAAATATTAAATTGTTCTAAAGCTTAATTTAACATAAAATAGTTTTAGGAATGAAGTGATGCACCATCCCAAGAAAGCTAGAAGCCTTGTCCTCCTGGAGTACATGTAGTCTCACATCTTTAGTCAGCTAAGCTATCTCCTCCATCAGATGGATGATGTAAGACTGACCATAAAACACATGATCCCACACGCCTGACGCTCACGCAGAGGTCACGCCCCTTCATTGCAACCATGTCAGCTGCCCATTGTTCTGCTCATATGGACTAGAGAACGCACTGTTCATGGGCTTTATCAGAGCTCAATGCTCTTCGCTCCAGTTTATGATCATTAGGGTCATAATATACAGTGCAGAGGGGTGAGCCAGTATAATGGCTCTCGGTTTCTTGTCTGCTCCAACAGTCGGGCTCATCGTGTAAACGCTTATCTCACTCCGTTTCCTCCAATATACACTGCTCACTCAGCTCGTGTTGGTTTAAACCCCGGGAGATCCTCAAGGACAGAGTCATCTTTTGTTAATCTGTGCTCATGCTCTGTCGTTTATTAACCAGCCACTCTGCTTTACGCTCCACTGTCTCCCCCTTCGGCAGAAATGCTCAGTGAAGAGGGGGCGGGTCAGGGCAAGTGTCATCGGCTTGTCTCAGTGCTGCAGAGCCTACAGTGTTACGACACATTGTGACTTATGAAAAGAATCAGACAGTCTGAGATGATATACACTATGCGTGGTGCAGACAGACATTGGTTTTTGCTCTTACTCGGCCTTTCTGACTCTGCTGCAGATTCATTTAGTACTGGATGACAGATAGACCCCTTTGGGAGAACGTGTCAGGCTTTTGTTATGTGACCACCAACGTGTTAATTTCCACTACTTTTAAATGTGGCCTTTTCTGTAAGGCTTGCTAATGACTCCGATTATGTTGTTATTGTGGTGCTAAACATGCAATTACAACCTAATTTTGGAACAGCTCAGGCATACTTAGCTATCACATGTGGGTTTGTTTCTTAAACTGGCAGCCGATCATAAAAAAGTGCTCCAGCACAACTAGCCTGTTGAGTCTTGCAGCTAAAGTGTGAAATAAAGGCCATCTGTGACAAAATGTGTTACACAAAGTGCTTGGCGAGCCAGCTCGTTATCCTCTTAGCAGCTCTGATCCTGGAAAATTCTCTGTGATGTACGTAAGATTGAGGAGTGATGATTGACCACACAGGCAGACAGCGGTGTTGATAGATGGTCATAACCCGACTGTCCCAGACTTGGTTTTGTAAATTAACCACAGAACAGACTGAGATGGGTGAAAATTTTACACAGTTGTTTGATCTTTTGTTCCAAGGCCTTCAGTGACCATACACGTACTTTGTTCCAGGGCTTTGTATCGAACCTCAATGCTGTTTGAGGCCTGACCGAAATGTGCCCGTAGCGTCAGGTATTGAAAAGATTTTTAGATTAAATCTTTGTCAGAAATAAAGAAACTATTCCAACTTTTGAACACATTTACTTTAGGCACAATTCATTGTTTAACACTGAGTTTTACATATTTTGTTAAATTTAAAAAACGGCTTACATATGCTTCTAGTCCTCAAACTCAGGTATCGAGAAAGGTATTGCACCAAAAACTTGGGTATGTTATTTGAATAAATGTCAGACATTTTCAACAAACTGTAGCCTGGCATTGTCAGACTGATTCACAATTGCAAATTAGCTGGAAGAGGCTGCTGGAACCACTTCCTTCATTTTCAATTTCCAGCGAAAGTTATTACTGGGTGCAGACCAAAATGCCTCAGGATACAGCTGGATAGACATACAACCAACCAAAGCAATGGAATGCGTGACGTAGCACTGAGCAACACTTCCAAGTTGGGGCAGAGTTTTGCCACCTCGTCACAAACTCTCCAAAATGACAGCTAAACAGTACACTTAAATGTGTTTCTGAATGTTTCCTGGCAGTGTAGGAACATAATCGTGATTCATATTTGATCAGCACTGTTAAGTTTTACAGTTTGATCTGAGTTTCGTCAGCCTGGTGTTATAACGGGAGGGGCCCAGACGCATCTGTCAGAGCAAATTAAAACATGAGCTCACAGATTCGTCTCGTTCTCAGGCACAGCAAAGTGTTTATTGCTGGAAAATGAGCGATAGGTATCTCCCATGTTTCTCAGTAGATTTGTAAAAGCACAGTGAGGTTGGTTGCACCTCTATCCAGTTATTGGCCCATTGCTTTACACAAAGTAGATAAGAGAGATTTGGGTTGAAATTTCCTGCACTGTGAATGCTGATACTTTGTTTTACTCTAAAAGCTAGATTAACTTCAGTTTATTAGGAAATGGATGGATTTCTGGTGCCCACTCTACTTTAGTTATTGCTGTGCTGTGAGTATACTTTGATTTAGTGTTGTGCCTTTTAATCAGATTGCTTTGCAGGTCCATGTGTCCATGTGTTCAGCAAAAAACAGGAACACAGAGTTCTTCTAAAAGCTGCTTTGCAGAACGACAGTTTGTACAGTGTGCATGTATATCCGCTAACTTCAAACTTCCCCTCTGTCCGTCCTCCCAGACGAAGACTCATCTCTCAGCGCTCTTCGCTTGAAACGCTAGAGGACATTGAGGAGAATGCACCTCTACGCAGGTAGTAAACTGCTCGGAAACACTGTTCACATTGTCTGCTACTGTACCCTGTCTATTCTGAGACACTCACTTCAATGTAATGTATCCCACTGGCATAGTTTCTCTGTTTTATAAGCTACTGATGTTTTGGTGTTATATTTTAGATGCCGAACCCTATCGGGTTCACCCCGACCAAAGAGCTTCAAGAAGATCCACTTCATAAAGAACATGAGGCAACATGATATGCGCAATGGAAGGTATGAAGGCAAACAACGCCATCCCTTAGTCAATACAACGCCTCAGTGCATAATGGCAGGTTGCCCCAGTCAGTGAGCTGCAGTTTGGATGTTTCTCACATTACAAGGCCTGGCCCATTCACTGCATGTCATACTGACTCATGAATAAAATGTAATCAATTGAGAATTCTGTCCATTCACACAGGGTGTAATCTGATTGAATTTTATCTTGATCTTTATTTGATCACTGTTGAAGTGTTTGGATCGCACCATGAAATCACCACTAAAAGATAAATCACATGTCATTGTGTCACAGTTTATATATGCATGTATGCAGCACACAAATCCCTAAATATAAAAGACATTACACAGTGGTGTTAATGATGATGTTTCACTGGGTGTGCAGAAAGTAACCAAAGGAAAGATGGTTGTTTAATCGAGACCAGGACGCCCAGGAAGTGTTGACCGCTCTGGTGATTTTCATCAGTATCAACGTCACATTCTTCGGATTTGAAATCTAATTCAGTTTGTGATGCAGAGTTTAGTTTCGGTGCTTTCTGAGAAAGTAATTTTTCAGTTGAGTGGTTTTCTAAAGTGTAGACAGTTAGCACAGCGTCTCTTGTTTAGACAATCAGTGTAGCATCTTGATTAGTTCCCCATGTTTGATTTGGTTTCCTGATAGATAAAGTTGTTTTTCCTCATATCCACATCCACGTCTGATGTGGAATAACTGCGAGCTGGATTTTCCACATTATTAAGAAGTGTTTGGTGATAAAGTGATGCTGAAACATGGCGTGACTCACATGTTATTCATGTCCTGATGTTGATTTTGTTTCGAGTAGCGAGATTCATCATGTGTAGCAGCTATTAAAAGAAGTAATTTTGATATTGTTGTCAGAGCTGAAATCTGTTTACTGGTTGGATACTGTTTGTATGTTTACACAGGTACAAGGCAGTTTATTTTAGAAGTAGCATATGCTAATTTAAGTTATTAAAAAATGCATCATTGTTACCCCCAAACCACTGATATATGCAACATGTGCTGCAATACCACAAGACAACACACACTCTTCATACTCAAGCTTCAGCTCATTCCCTTCATTCTTATTTTTGCTACACACTCTCTCCAACTTTAACCTGTGGATCTTGTCAGATAGATATTGATTAGCTTGTTTGCCATTTTTGTTTTTATAGGATAGTCCTTATCAGTGGCAGAAGATCCTTCTATAGTGTATTTTCTGTCCTGCCCTATCGAGATTGTAGCCAAGCAGGGTATGTATCCTACAGCATGCCAAACTTTGTATCCTCCTCCAGCCTGTGCTCCCTCTTTCCCTTTGTTTTCTCATCCCTCTTTTCTGTGGATGTACTCTCCTTTGACTGGTGCATACATTGCTACGGGTTGGTTTTGGTGGATGCATTTTTACATTAAGGTTTAATAAATGATTAAAAAAGTGGGCTGGAATGGGCTTTAGAGGTTTAATTTCATACAGCTTATGTTGTTGCCCAGTGCTTGTTGCTTGTATTGCTTTTCCCATAATGGCTCCGGTGGCTTTTGGCCGCTCTTCCTTTTTGTTCAAGTCCACCCATTTTTGTCTGTTGCATCTGTCGCTGGCTTTGCTGCATAGCATTTAAGATTCACCTTTCCCAGGTTCCTTTTCTTCTTATATTTATTAGCCTTACTTTTATGTGTTGTCCACTGGCTTGATTATATCAGATGCTGGCAGACTGGAGTTTCTGCTGCGTGCCCTGCACACAGTAATGACAGTTTATGATTATCCATTTATCTTTTAATCTTTGCCTCGGTTTAGAGTTCACATTTCTTGGTGCTCACACAAAAAAACATCTCTTATCTGTAGGCGACGCTTGTTTCCTCTTTCAAAGCAACACAAGGCTCCATGTAATGGGAACCCACCTGACTTACATGGGGATAGCTCTGTTATGGCCTTGGCTCTGACGCCCCACAGTCACATGAAACGGTGTGTTTTGGAGGAAGTGAAAGAGAAAGGGGACAGATAAACACTAGAGAATACAATGCTCAGAAAGAAAAGCAGCACACCGGGGCTTAGTGAAGAGCATAAAAGGCTCAATCCGTTTGTGGAATTTCCTAAGCCAGCCAATCAGTGCAAGGTCAAGGGTTAATAAACCCCCGGGGCTATCCAATATGCACATCTGACTGCTCATTGCTGCTAATTGACAGTTTATGGTTAGACTTTGGCAGGCTCAGTCAACTGTTGTAACTGCAAAACAACATTTTATTAGACGACTGGGCCCAAATGGCTGATTGCATGTAATTTAGTTTCTTTATTCTGTCTCTCTGTCTCTATACTTACTTTAACAACAGCCCCATGAACAAAAATGGCCAAATTTTGCACAGCAGTCTGGTATGGGCCCCAAAAACGTATGAGGACATAACATGAGGACCATCATCCCCACAACAGTGAATGATTAAAGAACTGGACTTTAAAGTTGCTTTCCTGCCAAGAGTTAGATGAAAGATTGATACAACTCTTGAATTTGTCTGTCAAATATGAAACTACAGCCAGGAGATGATTAGCTTATCATAACTAGCTAGCCGACCATGTGCCTACTAGCACCTCTAAAGCTCAAAGTAAAAAAAAAAAAAAAAAAAAATGGTCCTTTTTAAACATGAATTGTGCAAATTTGCAGGAAAGCCCAATCAGTCTTTTTTCAGCATTGGCAGCAAAATGCCGCCTGCCTACTTTTGTTTATACAGAATGCGCCGTTTTCAGAGCAATGGGGGGCGTGAGCAAGTAACAAAACATGTAGCTCAGCGTGTGACGTAAACAGTGACGTGGGAGGGAAGCCGCGGCTGGTCAGTCCTTCAGCGATTCTCTCATAAGTCGGCCCATTCCTTACCGTTCCCATCATTTGACAGTTAATGGCCTCTTCGTTTGCGAGGACAAGGAGGGCGCGCAATTCCTTGTCTCCCCAGTTGCTCATCTTTACAGTGTCTGTCAGGTTTGTGTTTCCCTCTTGCTACTAGCTGCTCGCTAATTCCTGCTATCAGCTGTTTCCTGTTTATCCACCGCCAGTGGCTTGCACGTGCGGCGTCATCAACAGCCCCTCCCGCTGCGGAAGGCCATCTCGGTCTGTTTAAACTAAAAGGGTTCCGCCAATATGTCTACCCTACGAGGCAGAAAATTGGGCACCACGGATCAACTCGCCAATCTGGCTCTGTGTGTCTAAATGCTCGCAGCTTGCCGTCAAAACGGCCCAACATTCGCCGAAAATCTGGCAGTGTAAAAGGGGCTTATGTGAGGGATTGTATCTTGGATAGACTGCTCCCAACTTAATTTGCAGTTGAAAAAAAAAAATCGTAATAATATTGCATCGTGACATTATTAGTATTAATATCGTATCATGGATCCTCTCGTGATTCCCATAATTGCTATCATCGTATGGCACGGCTCAGGTTAAACCCTAAACTGGTGGGACTTTCCAGTGTAAAATATCGTATTTGATAATATTTGCTGCCATTTTCCTATTGGCTAATGTTTCACGATGTATCGGAAAGCAGTTCTTCTTTGGCGCCCTAAAAAAGTAGTTGCCAGTGGCTGCACAGCACAACTTACTGTATAGGCTGCTGTTTTAGAGCCGTGAAGAAGGATTCATTTCTGGAAAAACTGCTGTTTTTACATGGGTGTGAAATACTAAAAAAGTTTATAATAAATTTAATAGGTGGAATCAGGGCATTGGCCTGCAAATACTCGGGAGTATTTCCGATACTGGTATCAGTATCAGAACAACTCTCCGTAAAACCAGCTCAGTGTTTTTAGGCTTTGTTTTAAAGACATCAAACATGCTAATTACTGAGTTTCAGAGGTGCAGGTAGGTGGATTTTTATTTTGGACAGAGCCAGGACAGTTTTTTTCCCAGATTTTAGTCTTCATGCTAAGCTAAGCTAAAGCCAGGGTACAAAATTAGCACCGTCCACTAACTAAATGGTGGTAAAATATGCAAGTGGCTGATAGATTTGCTTCACTCACCACAAAAAAAGCAATGGCCCTCTGTTGTGTGGATGGTAAATTAGAATTTTGGGCCATGTGGGCGAGTGGACAGAAAAGTTAATTTCGCACCCAGGCTAAAGCTAAACTAATTTAGTATACTGACGTGCGTTGTATTAATCATCTCCTCCAACTGTTGGCGGGAAAGCAAATAGTCTTTTTTTTTTTTTTTTTTTTTACATCATGTCAAATTATTCCTTCTGGGGAAAGAAAATATTAAACTATGCAGGCTAACATGCTGCTTAATTGGACATTTGTTTGCGGGGCATGACTGTCTCGTGACAGCTCAATGCTTCTGGGCTAGAATCAACTGTGGCTTTTCTGCGTGGACTTTGCATGTTCTTCCTGTGTCGGCATGGGTTTCCTCATATACTTGAGTTTCTGTGACCTAAAATACATGCACGTGAGGTAATGCTCCTGGCATTCAAGGGTAGTCGAAGTTAGATGAGTCCAATTCAGAGGACAAATTTCCTCTCAGGGATTAATAAAGTATAGCTTAATGTTGCTCATAACTTTATTGTAATGGGTGAAGTTTGGGTGAGACTGCAGGGGAATATTATTACAAGCAAGTCAAGCCAATGTTAAACTGTTTATGTGAGCTGTTAAGTATTTGGTAGTAAAGCAGACAGCAAGGGTCAAGATTCTTTTAGTCATGCTAATATTTATGGTTTGTTTGCTTGATGCTGGATTTAGCAACATTTGGTAGGGCATGATGAGCACTCTGCATACATTATAACACTACTAACATACAGATGTTTGAAGCCAATGATTCCTATCCATGCATGTTACTAAGCAATGTCAGCTTCTCTCATAATTTCCTTTCATTTCTTGGTACTCTCGGCAGACTGAAGCGCAACAATTTATTTTCTGGATCGCTTCTTAGAAAAGCTCTCTCCCTAGAAAGCTTTCCATCTCTTTTATGTTTCCCTCTTTTTATTTAATCTCCACTGTTCTGTAAGACGTCTGCTGCCTGGGGATCTTCATGTTTATGATGCATCTGTCAACATTGTGTCCTGACGTGCCTGTTTGCCAAATAACTCTGTTTTCATTATAACAGATTGGCCCCAAATGTCATCAAAACACTGGGAGAGTCATGTGAGGGCCCACCGAGTCACTTCTTCTATTTATCTGGGCACCATTTTAAACAGACAGAAAGACCGTGTGAGGGACGATAAGGGAGGTGTAGGAAAAAAAGACAGTGTTACGATTTAATGTCTGCTGCCTGCTGACTTTCTGAAATTTCACTACAGTGAAAATATTGAGCTAAAATAAGGCTGGAGTTATTATCACACAAACACAGGTGGATAATTGGCCGTCTGTGTCTTCTGTCTTGGAATCATTTTACCATGAAAAAATTCTCACCTTATAGTTTGGAAATATGAATGCCAACTCTACTTTTGTTTTGAGTGTTTCTATTTTCTAATAGTCATTTAAAAACAAATCTTAAACTGCTGGAAAGTGTGTGAGTGTGTGAATAAAGTGGACTGCATGTAATCTGCCCTGTCAGTTCACACACTCATTCGTCTCTACTGGCAGTGACCTAAAAAATCATTAAGTGAAATTAAATCCCAACATGTTCGGTCATAGCAGTAACAAATTCCTTAATGAATATACTTGACTACAAGGCTGGGGATATGGAGAAAATCAGATTTCACAATATGTTTGACCAAATACCTTGGTATCGATATAGCGACGCTATTGTAGGGTTGACTGTAGCGAGGCATTGCAGACAGCCTGTCACTCAAAGCAGAGTCCTGCACGGGTCCAGTTTTCAAGATCTGCCCCGACCCGGCAATGTACAAACCTGCACCCGAACCGCAAACCCGCGCATCAGGCCAATGGGTCCATGTCATTGGTTCGACAGCCCATTGGTTCGACATCGCATTAGTCCGACTGTCCGTGGTGCTGAACGGCTCGCGGCGGGCGTATGGTGCGCCGCGACCGGCTTGAGGCGGAGCAGGCTCACGGCTTATGTGTTTGTCACTTTCTTTTTCATTTTAACCCACACCATGATCTTTTCCTGACCCTAACCAAGTGTTTTTTTGTGCCTAAACCTAACCAGACCTTAACCACAGGGCATCATGATGATTTCGGAACGGACTTAGGAACAATGAGTTTAATATGGTCGGAACAGTGGGCTGTCGAACTAATGGGCAGTTCCCAGGCCAATTGGTAACGCAACCCGGTCCGACCCGTTGAAACACGACCCGCAGCCCGACCTGTAACCCGGATTTAAAGTAATCATTTTGGGTCATATTGGCTGAATATTGAACAGCATATTGCCACAGTTAAGGTGCCAGTAAGTAAACAACGACCTGAATGAAGCAGCTCTCACAATAAAAACCTGACTTCAGCTCCATCATCAACCCTCTGTGTTCTTCTCCCATACGAGTGTAAAAGCACTCGTTTGTTACGTTTAATGCTTTTAAACTTTTAATCTATGTAAAGGAACTTAACATGTGTAATAATAGACTTAATTTCTGTCCAGAGCGACGTTCAGCAGTTACGAGCTGTCACGTGTTTTTAGAATCCATCGAGGAGAGAAGTAATCCATCAGGGAAACACTTCAGAAACATTATAAAGTGATAGTTGTACGTTTTATCCACTTATTTCTCAAATACCTAAATAATTACAGCTGAACCAATGACCGTTGCGAAATAGCGGCGGCGATCCTCAGAGAGTAAATATGACCAAGATAGTTATCTGTAGTTTACCGAACTACTGACTGATGTGTTTATCTAAAACCCGTGATCCGACCCGCATGTTATTTTTTCCACCCAGATTCGAACCTGGGAAAAAATGTTTTTTTAAAAACCACCCCCAAATCAGCTGTTTTTGCAGGTACCCGACCCAGTGTAGGACTCTGGTCCACACTTGACATATAGCATTATAATTCATGTTTAGCTTGTGTTGTGTAATGTGTAACGCCACGTAGCAGGCGCAGGAAGCTGTACAAAATTTGCAAATATCATTTCCAGGTCCTCACACAATATGTAGGAAATAACATCTAACTTGTGCACGCAGTGTCAGACAGTCGCAGAAATGCAGGGCTGCCCCGACTGTCATTTTGCCAGTACCGCCAACGCAGAAAGGTACCAGAGCCCGTCAGTTATAATAATAATTAAGAATTAGTAATAATAATATGCTACAATGACCCTAAAAGGAATGAAAACAAAAGATTTTGGGGGTTGAACAGATTACGACTGAAACTTGAAACCATTTTGTTTAAATGGAAGTATGTGTAAAAAGTCTTCCTTTTGAGAATAGATAAAATAAAGGTTAGTTTCTTAATTGGGTTAAAAAAAAAATCTATATCATAGATACGCAAATGTTTGCAGAATGATAACTCCCAGTTTTCATACCGCAGTATACCACTGCAGCACTGTTTTTCTGTAATGCAGACTTTGAAACTAGGCTAAAAACAACACTTACGATATTGCAATATTCAAAATCATGATATTGATATAATGCCGATGTATTGTCCAGCCCTATTTTGCTATTTAGTTTGCTGCTATGGTTAATATTGTTGTTTTATCGTCATATTCAAACATAAAATGCCAATTGAATATTTCTTAATAGGCACACAGTTTAATTTAGCATGCAGTCCCTCCAGTCCTTTGTGCAGCAGCAGTCATTAAATAGTGAAATATTTGGCCAATCCAAAATGTGTGCAGTGGAGGGCTCTCTGTTTGCTCCACTGACACACTTTACTCTCCAGCAGAGCATTTGACCTCCTGCAAATCTCCCACAGAAGTATGGCATTCCAGACATTGGTGAGGCAGCAGCTGAGTCTAGAATGAAACCGTACTCTCCCTCCATCCTTCCTCCCAAGGGTGCTCTTTATTTCTGACGCACCCAAAAGACACAGGCAATTACAGAAACTAGGCCAGCTGATGAACGCAGATCGATACAGGGGCCTATCTGTGAGGTAGAGATATTGAGGTGAGCAAGAACTAGGCCTTAGCGACAAAAGTTAAGGGAACGGGTGGGCGTTAAAAGAAGCTGTAGGAAGGTTTGTACGTGCAGTGAAGGCTTTAACGTCTTGTGCTCATTAGGGATGTAAAGCTGGAAGGAGGAGGGCGTCAGCGGCACCCATCAGGAGGCGTCAGTGCCAAGGAGATGGTGATCGGGCTGGAGGGAGTGGAGTTAGGAGCCGATGGAAAGGTGAGATGCCGGCAGAAAAGTGCTGTGTGCAGAGTTACACTGAGCTACCTGCATTTCAGCTGCTTAATGAAAAAAAAAATGATTCTTTATACGCTAAATGTCACTTCAGTTACTACAAGAGGAATTTATTTAACGCAAGGAAAATGCCAGAAATGACCAGGATGAAGTTTTTGAACAGGGTGTCTACAGGTCCTTTAAAAAGTCTTAATATGTCTTAAATTCAGATTTGATGGGTCTTGAATATTTTTGGTCACATTGTCCAGTCTCGAAGATCCAATGCCGAAGATAGCAATAATAATAAATATTGGGTAGCATTTATGACGGTGATGAGATTGTGTTTTCTTTTTACAGTAAACACATTAAACTTAAACTCAGCCAACTGTTGTCATTTTTCCTTACTGTTCATTTTGAACTGACGTCAGTGTGTTTACTTGGAAAGAGTACTTACACGTGTCTCTCACATACACAAATATATAGATATAATTTGTATTTCTATTGCAGGTTTGGTCTTAAATTTCATATGAGGTGGTGTTAAAAAGGTCTTCAAAAGTCTTAAATTTAACTTGGTTAAATCTGTACACACCCTGGGTAATCTAGCAGCAAAACATAGAAGAGATTACAAAATATCAGAGGGAATCAAGTGCTCTAGGGATGACGTTTTTTTGAAGGCCGACATGGAATGGCCAATGGGCTTTTTCCATTGAATTTTTGCCGAAAATAAACTCTGTGGCAAATCAGAGGTTTATGATTCATACACGGTTTGTTCAGCAAGATAATCTCTGCCAATGAGTGCTACTTTTTGGATTTTTGAAGCGTTAATGTAACTGCCATGGTGAGAAGCTAACGTTAGGCTATAAACAAACTACACTGCAGTAGCATGACTTTAACATCGCCACCACTTATTTAGTAGTCTCATTTAGCCACTTGTTAGCAACCATCTTTTATAAGACACGTAAAGGCTTCAAAATTTTCACGTGGGGTATTCACTGATGTGTTTTATGTCGTAGAACAAACTGTGTTTTAACCACAGACCTTATTCCAGGCATCTAACCAAAACCCCATTCAAAAGACCCATTAACTTCAAGACGAGGGAAGTGGGTGTGCTAAGATGCTAACTCACTGTGAGGTTTCAAGACTCATTCCTACACCGCTCTCTGGGAAAACGATTGTGTGATGTGTACAAGACAACTGCACCATCTGACACCAGGTTTTCTCCGTTAGTCACAGAGGAATTTATGACATCAAAAAAAACATGCATCAGGAGATACATAGTCATATAGCCCCCCCTTCCCCATTTCTGTTTTTCTGTTCCAGGAAGTTGGCAACCCTTAGTTTGTCAACCTTTGCATTTGCCTTTAAATACTAAATTGTATATCTTAAACATTGCACTGTGCTATGTGTTTCATATGTGGTGTAAATCAACACAATTTTCATCATGTTTGAAGCATGCAAAAGGCTTTTTTCTCAGCAGCATTTGACATGTCATAGCACGAAACCCTAGGTCTAATTAATCTCATTACCAATAACTGCATTCCTGTGAGGAAAGTCAGCTCCAGGCTCCTATTATTATGCATGCTGGCTTACTGGTATAACATACTGGGACTCTGGCCACCCTTAATGTTATTAATACCTTCTGCTTTTCAAAATGCTGCTGTGAATAAGATATTTCTAAGATTATTTCTGTTTAATGTGTTAAAATGGCAAACCTTTTAGGCTTTGGTGTAGCAGACATTCTAACTACGCCTCTGTCTGCAGACTGTGTCCTACACCCAGTTCCTGTACCCCACTAATGTTCTGGGTGGTCGAAGAAACACCATCGACTCCACCTCCTCTTTCTCTCAGTCTCGTAACGCCAGCCATAGAAGCCTCAGTTTGGGCCGAGCCAACAGCAACCAGAGCAGCTTAGACACAGGTTAGTCAAATGCCAACAACAGTTTAACTTATTCATTATAAATGTTGTGTGTTCATCACCTTCAGTTGTTTTTTTTATCTTATTATCCAGTATATTTTTTATTGGAAATACTGTGTAGTGCAAATGTTAACTTCTGGCTCAACCTCTGTTGTTTTTGTGCTCATGGCAGGGAATGATTTGGGGGATTTTCGGGAGTATGACCCCAATCTGCTGGATGACCCGCAGTGGCCTTGTGGAAAACACAAGAGAGTCCTCATCTTCCCCTCCTACATGGTGAGAAAGAGCTCTAGCTGCGTCTAACACCAGCAGCAGCAACATTAACAACAGCAAGTCCTCTTGAGAGCAGACTGGAAAGGTTGTCGGCATAATTCTCTGAAACAGACCCACATCTGTTCTGACGTGGTTTGTTGAAATGTCCTGCGATATCTCAGCGTTAATGCTTTTTTTTGTTTTCAATGGTTATTTTTGTCAGTATGGACCTTTTGTGCTCAGTTTTCCCACCACAACCAAGAACAATAACACACTGGAAAGATTTGTCTGCCTCTACAGTTTTCTTTTGGACTTTTATCAGCTGTTTTTTGAAAAGGAGCCAGGAGGATGTTTCAGACTGTTTTAATCAGCAAGGTCACTGGCGCAGGCTCTCTCTCCCTTTTTCTGGGACCTGAATGAATACACTTTATCTCAGTATAGTGGGCAGTAGCCATTAAAAAAACAGCCACTTCACCACAGCAACAGTCGGTGTAGTGTTTGAATCTCAGCACTTATCACTCTCGTACTTATCCGGAAAAGAACGGATGTTTTATTGTGGTTGGGGAGAAGGAAAAAAACAGACTAGACTCCCACCTCATTCTTTCCTGGGCTCTGTTTTTGTTACAGAGACTGGCAGAATACACAACAAGGACTGACATAGTTGAAATGTTAAGTCAAGGCCAGGCTATGAGTTTTGTTTTTTTTACTTCTCTTCCTCCAATTACAAAAGCCAGCGTCTCACAACAATAGCCATTGTGTTTACTACAGGAATGGCACCAGTAAATTCTCATCATTTCACAGGTCGGACACAGCCTGCGTAGTAGACACGACTCTCTAACTGAACTTTCAAGCTGGGGATAATAATAGTTTTTATTCTCTGTGGGCGACTGAGGAACCATGAATATGAAGCAACAAAAACATCACTTAAGTCATTTTAAACATGGTTATGTTTATGTTTGGTTAATGTTTAGTGGCTTCTTGTTGATTTGTGTAATATGACCCTCACAGAACAAACATGGAATAATGAAATACTTTTAGGTGGTGACATAAGTTAGTGTGAGACATGGTCACAGAGTGTTTCCTTCACGTAGCGTTAGTGCTGTTCTTCCTGTTCATTCTCGGGGCTGTGGCCATCGATAAGCATTTGTTATCCGTCACGGTTCATGATCAGCTGTGTGATGTTCAGGGTGGATATCATTCCTCACGCTCCATGCAATTTCTGCAGTACCATACATGCATATAAAGAGTCATTCTTGTATGTTTAGCCTCGCTGCGTAGTGTCTCACAACTTTGGTGGTGTTTTCGTACACATGGCATCATTTCTATCAGCTTGAAAAAGACTATTCCCCATAGAGGAGGACCAACTAACAGTTTATTTAACTGTCAATTAATGCAGACTATTCTCTCGATTAATCGTTTTGTAAATGGGCTGCTCTTGTATAGCACTTTTCTTGTCTTACGAGCCCCCCTTTTCACCCATTCACACACTGGTGGCCGAGGCTATCATACAAGGTGCCACACACTGATGGAACAGCCATCTGGAGCAATATATGCCAGTGTGTGTGTGTGTGTGTGTGTGTGTGTGTGTGTGTGTGTGTGTTTGTGTGTGTGAGGGTGAATAAATGAAACCAGCAGGCCAAATAAAGTGGTTAAGATAATCTGGCTGAAGTGTTGGAGGTCAAACTGAAAGTGAGTGCAGCCAAAGTGTTGGTAATAATCCTGCGTGCACAGCTACAGCAAGCAGTTTGGTCAAAGTTAAACCAAGAGGTTGGTCTGGAAATGTTAATGGGTGTTGACAAAGGACATGTTGGGTAATTACTTTAATTATTTTTTACTGTAACAGTAATACTGTATTTCTTGCTCTGTCTGTCTGACTTATTTTTTTAGAACAGCTTCCATGTTCAGTTCTCAGGAATTATACTGGTGAATGCTGGTTGTGATAAATCAGAATAATCTGGTAGATCTAGCAGCAAAGATTCCTTTTGCCTCTTGAACATCTTAAATATAAGTTGTGGATTCAGCAAAGTTCTAGAAATGCACTTTGTTCTTCAGGGGTCTTAACTAAACCCAAACTCGCAGCCACTCATTGCTGCGGCTCTGTCTTAATGTGACTCACCCACCTGGTACTCAAAGCATGTTATAACAAGCACAAAGCGCTGTTTAATAGAAGCCTGATGGAGGCATGGGAAGCTCAGTCAGCAAACAAGTATGTTTTGTGTCTGTAGATTTGTAAAAGAAAAGGCTGAAAGTACTCATCTTTTACTTATCCTCAACAAATCCTAATGCAAGATAGATCAAAACTATCTCTCAGTGTTTTTAACATCCCTACCCCTCTGTCTGTTTCATTCAGGCCCAAAAGGCTCAGTATTTTTTTTAGAAACAGCTGGGAGTTGTAGTTTTTAGCAAGTCTCAAGGTGGAGTAAATAATTGAGCATAGTGTTAGTTCAGGCAGGACACGATGTCAAGCTCAGCTCACATCCCAGCTACATCAGCTGATCTCAAACAGCCCAGTCAACTGATGGAGCAGCTGATTGATGTAAGAGAGTCAGCTGATAGATCACATGATTCCTTTCTATGCCACCAATTGGTGAATCTCATTCAGGACGCCCTATTTAAACTGCTCTGGCCTGCCTACTGTTGCTGCTTCCTCTACAAGCTGCTCTGCAACCTGCCTCCACCCCAGCTCCTCCTTTTCATGTTGTGTCTGACTTATTAATGTCATTTCTGTTTGTCACTGATGCTGCTCTGTTCTGTTACCGGTGGGTCTTTGCTGCTGCTCTCCCTGCCTTAGGCTTTCCATGTAGGTGCATGGAAGGGCAGGGAGGTTTGATCTCTCTGCCTCAGGCTTTCCTAATTGGCACGTGGAAGGGCAGACAGGTATGATCTCTCCACCTTAGGCTTTCCATGTAGGAGCATGGAAGGGCAGGAAGGTTTGATCTCTCTGTCTCAGGCTCTCCTAATTTGCATGTGGGAGGGCAGACAGGTGTGATCTCTCCACCTTAGGCTTTCCATGTAGGCACGCAGAAGGGCAGGGAGGTTTGCTCTCTCTCTGCCATATGCTTTTCACGTATGCACGTGGAAGGGCAGACGGGTGTGCTCTCTCTGCCTTATGCTTTTTTCAAGTGGAAGAGGCTTTCTTTGTAGGCCCTAGGAAAGGCAGAGAGGCCCCAGAACAGAGCCATACTACCAAATATAACACTGTAAATCAAAGTGTTCCTGACTGAAATGAATTTGATGGGGACTGTTTTCATTGGAGGATTAATACACATTTGGTATGCTAGTGAGTATTTACAGCAGCAAGATGATGTATTGACTCAAAATAAGTGCCCAGGTTCACAGTGCTGAAGGAACACTGGTGTTTTTAATATTTTTGGGACAACAATGGAGCTCTGTGGCACAGGAAAATAAGGTGTGTCAGGCTTTGGATACACAGTAGGATGTGTGTGATAGCAGGATCAGTTCATTGTTGTTTTGGGTACTGTCATAGGATTTGTTGACAATAAGATAGAAATAGAATATCACCAGACTTATCCTTTAAGTAACATGACTAACACCAGCTCTCAGTGAAGCCTCATTGTGAGATTGTGGAATCCAACACTAGTGTGTGAGGATCCAGTGATCCTGCCCAGTGCTGAAAGTAGTGTGGTCATCCTAACACCACCTCTGGTTTTCCTTTTCAGACTACGGTCATTGAATATGTCAAACCCTCTGACCTCAAGAAGGACATGAACGAAACCTTCAAGGAGAAGTTCCCCCACATACGGCTCACACTCAGCAAGATTAGGAGGTAAAACAGACAGAAATGTGTGTGATATTAAGCAAGTGTGATGAGAAAGATGATTTAACTTTACCGTGACCTGTTTCCTTTTCTTTAACGTCATCTTTATTTATTTCTCCCTTTCTTCTCCTCATTCTCTGCTTTTTCGTCTCTCTGCAGCTTGAAAAGGGAGATAAAAAAGTTGGCCCAGGATGAATGTGGTTATGAGGAACCGACAGTGGCCATGGCTTTCGTCTACTTTGAAAAACTGGTGCTTCAAGGCAAACTAAACAAGCAGAATCGTAAACTTTGTGCTGGAGCTTGTGTCCTTCTGGCAGCCAAGATCGGCGGTGACCTCAAAAAACACGAGGTCAAGCTACTGATAGACGTAAGTTTCCTCGGCCACGCTTACAAAAAATCCTAACTTTGTTATTTGATCATACTTTGATGGTGTCTTGTGTCCTCTCATTGCACCAGATTAAAGGGTCAGTTCACTCAAACTAGAGTCAAAAATGAAATAGAGAGAAAATCAGGACATTGTTTCCAGACAGATGTTTTTTCAAAAGTTTCAAAACAAAATTCCCCCGGGGTTGGCAGCAGACGTCTCAACAGCAGATAACTCAAAGCATGACAATTTAAAACCCAAACTTTTTGCATGACTAGATACCACAAGGGGTGCGTGATGATTTCAATATCAAATACAACATTTAGCTGCCATTGCTTTCAGATCTTTAGATATATTTTTACAAGTATCCCTGTTGCAAGGGATTTTAGGTAGATGGGACGCACAAAAACAGCATTAGGAAAATAGAAGTGGGGGCAGTGAAGAGTATTGCAGTCACAGTGTGAAACAAATAAAGCTGTTAGAGGAATGGGTGTCGACAGAACATTTCACTATAATGAAATCTGATCTTCCTGTTTTTAGGTGAGTGCTAGATCTGCTGTTGCAGGTCAAGCGGTTTCCAAATCCCATAAATAGCACGGTGCTTATTTGTCTAGAGTCTCACCGGGGCCGCCCACACTAAGAATGATAGCTGTAAGGATAACTATAACAACAACGACGTGAGCATCCACACTAATAAACAACAGTGTTCTGTAAACAGTGGCGGCGCCAACATGTACTGTGCACTCCAGCAGTGTCAGCAGGTCGTCTCCTCGTCTCCGTTGGTAATGATAACAAAACACTTGCCTCTGATTCTGAGGGTTTACCTGATTGCATCCTGATGTCCTGCTCCGTGGTCATGGTTTCAGACTGTTTTATCAAACAGAGGTGCTTTTTTTTACTCTCAGTTATGAGTCTTTCGGCAGTGCCCTGTTTTTAACATGTCGCCCTGTGAATTCAAATGGACTTTGATTGGCTGTCAGTGTTTCTATCCTTCATCAAATCAATCTGAAAGTGATGCCAACAATATCTTGACCATGTAAAGATAAAAACAACGATTAAAACATGGTGTATTAATGAAGGATTTTTAACTACAGTCAGAATGCCTCGAATGCATTTTTGGACTGCCTGCCTCTACTATGTCATTTTTTATCTTTGACTCCTTACAACAACCTTTTTTACAACTAACTACACAGAGCCTTAACTCAATGCAGCACTCCCTATTTTTGCCACAATATCTTGGCCACTGTCGTCGTCGTTATAGCTGTGGTGTGGGCTTCGCCAACCACTTGAGTCAGAGCAATTTTTAAAGCAAAATATTTATCCATCCATCCATTTTCTAACTGCTTATCCTCTTGGGGGTCGTGGGGGGGCTGGAGCTTATCCCAGCTGACATTGGGTGAGAGGTGGGGTACACCCTGGACAGGTCACCAGACTATCTCTGTAGAGACAGACAACCATTCACACTCACATTCACACCTACGGACAATTTAGAGTCACCAATTAACCTGCATGTCTTTGGACTGTGGGAGGAAGCTGGAGCACCTGGAGGAAACCCACGCTGACACGGGGAGAACATGCAAACTCTGCACAGAAGGGCTTTTAGAGTGATAAATCCAACCCCCATTAAACACAGTGATTTTTTTAAAACTGGCAAAAACTACACATTTAGTTTTCTCTATCCTGTCCGTCTAATCCTAAAATTACATCTCTGCCACCATTTTCCTGTTGGCTTATGAAATATGGTGACTGCATCAACAGTAGGTTTGTCAACCATCCAAACACTCCCTCGTCTTGTCCAAATTGTCTGTGCCAGTCCTCATGAAATGCTGGTTAAAAATAAGCACGTGTAGCGAGAAGCAATTAGGAGTGCAGCATTGCATTTATTATTTAATCTTAACTCTTGGTTCTTTTTTCATTGCAGAAACTGGAAGAGAGGTTCAGGGTGAACCGCAGAGAGCTGATAGCCTTCGAGTTCCCTGTCCTGGTGGCGTTAGAGTTCAACCTGCACCTGCCAGAACACGAGATCATGCCCCACTACAGACGCCTGCTGCAGACCTCCTAGCATTAGTGACCCATCAGGAGGACGACCACCAGGTTCTCCTCCTGATCCTCTGCTTCGAACCATTTCCATCCTCCCACCTATCTCTTCGTCCCCGTCTGACAGTTCTAAGGTACCGCCGGCTGTCTCTCAGCTGCAGCCGACAACACTCTCCTTCCTCTCAGAGACCTGAAATCAGCCAAAGGGACACACATTTCCAAAACTTTCCTCCATTGTTTGACTTTGACATCCATCACCACTACGCGGACTTCGGAAAGAAAGGGTTCAGCCGTCTAGTTGTTTTCTTAGTTTGCATGTTTTCACATGTCCTCATCTCCACTTTGTACATTTTAGACCTCTCTTGTTGATTAAGAGAGCTTTTTGTTGTTTGAATCTGATGGTGAACATTTTTTTCTCAGTTAAAGAGCAACCAATGATTGTAACATTTTTATCATCTCCTTTTCATTAATCTCCCTCTTGTAAACTTTGGTATGATTGGTTGCCTCCTGACCTGCGTAAAATTTAAACAAAAGCCTTTTAAGTGGCTGGTTTTGGCTGGACTTCCTCAGAGTGACTCATCTTTTTCGCAAGTCATCGTCTTAAAAGTGCACTTTTTGAATATTGAGAGACATAAGGGGCGGGGGGGATTTTTTTCAGAGTTTTAATGAGCTTGGGAACTAACCCTGAAAAATAAGCTGTGTTCATAAGCACCACACACACAAGTCATTTCAATGGACCTTTTGAATTGTTTTCCTCTTTATGGTTTATTCACGATTTTCTAGCAACAACTATCTGCATGAGAAGTAATGACTGTTTGCATACAGGTACTTGCAGACAAGATGGGACTTCCTATTTTCACTGAAGTATTCCATTCATTTTCTACCAGTCAGATGCTTGCTGTAGACTTGCAGAGACCAGACCCACTTTTATCAGTGTCGAATTTCCTGTGCTCTATGTTAGAGTGTATTGCTAGCACATTTACGGTGCTGTATCGGGGTCAGGAAGGTAGCTTTGAAGAGGTGTTCATGAGTGCGTAAATGCCATTAAACAGTGATCAGGATTTGCAGCAGAGCGGCAGCAGGGTGCTCTCGTGTTGAGAGAGAAAATGTCCTTCACCTGGGGGACGTGACCTAAGACCCTGTGCTGGTAATTATCCTCCCTGCTGAAGTGTCCTTGAGCAAGACTCTGAGTCCCTTCAGGCTTCAGGGACACTTCTCTTTATCAGACTTCTCTGAGGAGAAGAAAAATCTGAACGAGATCCCAGCAGGGATCAATTACGAATCAAACATTCACATTTAACTTGAATAAGCATTTGTTAATTTGAAATCTAAATTGTTAAAATTAACTTTACCAATGCGACCTATTAAAAAAGTATTTTTCCATTCCTTTGGCATGTATCTGAACTTGATTTTCTCTTTCATGACCTTGAATTTATCTCACACAATACCACAGAGTATTGAGGGGGAAAAAGGTATTTAATGCTGCTCCAAGTATTGATGGTATTTGAGTTGAAATGATCATCAACATGAACCCAAATTGTAATGAGAAAAAGCATGGACTGTGCTGATTTAAGGTGAAAAAATACTGAGCTTATTTCTGTTTGCAAGCCCAAAGATTTCGCTTTAAGATGCACACTAAAGACTCATGGGCGACACTTATCACCTGTGTATGTTTGTAAATAAATTGCTTTGCTTGTTCAATCAAAACCAGACTCGGATGTGTTTTTGCTTCAACAATCGAGCGTGTATCGATATATATGACATCGGCAAACTTGTTTATTTCTGTCATCTTTAGCTGTAACTGAAACGTAGCAAAACACATTTTGGTCTACAGTCTGTGTTTTGAAGGATGTATCCAGGATGTCAAACTGTATCAGCAGCAACAACAGGTTAAAAAGACAAAGATAGTTAGAAGCTAAAGCCGAACTATAGGCTACAGATCACAGTGTAAAAGTGAACCACCACATCACTGCTGATCGCCACACAAGACAATGAATCTCTAGGCGAAGTCAAACAATGTTCATCTGCACACACTGTGATGACACACAGCTGGTTGAATATGAGCAAAGTTTCCCTGCTTCCCTTCACTGGTTCCTGTACAGCAGGGTCGGTCTTTATTCACTGTTGCAGTCATGCAAAGGCAAAAGCAGCATGTGTATACATTCAGTAGGCTATATCTTCAGTAGCTAGCTAGCTAACCCTACACTTTTCAGGGTTTGATTTTGGTTTTGGAACAGGGAAGAAACGTATATCTGTTTCCAACCTCTCCAGGTAATGAGTGTCATTAATACACGACGTGCCCCTGGCACAACATTTAGCTCCAAATCCACAAAACCAGCCTGAAAATGAACGACTAGAGTCAATGGAGCACAGCTGTGTTGTTGTCGTACGCTGGTCTGAGCCGGCCCAGTCTGCGTCAGGGGGCAGGACCTAGCAAAGGGTCAATTAAGGCAGCCTTAGACCAGCAACACCTGTGTTCTGCAAAGTAATATTACTGTTTTGTGAATGGAGTCTGGAGGCTTCGAGAAAATAGCTTCCATTCCCCATCAGAGAGGGCTGTCTGGCAGCAAGTTAAAGCTGTTCTAATATTCTAAATAGCGTAAACTTAAATTGATATTGATATCTTTTAGGTAGGCCCTTTAAAACACTAACTATCTGAGAGTGTTTGCTCAGCACCGTTTCATTTTATGTACGTGACGCAGGAATTCTCTTCCAGAAGTCATTGTAAACAAACGAGATTTGGTCTATTGGGCTGGGCAGTATGGGGAAAATCAAATGTCAAATCAAATGACTACATACCTCAATATTTATAATGCAATGATATTGAGTTGACTATTTTTGCTTTCACAAAGTATTAACACAGTGAAATGTTTGATAAATAATGATCAGTAATGTTGATAGTGGGAAAAACAAATATTAGAACAGCTAGAACAGTTGGTGAGTTCAGAAAATTGCATCACTTCACTGCAACACAGCCTTTGAAACCAGGGAAAGACAACATTTGTGCCACATTATGATATCCAAAACTTATGACGAGATCTAGTCTAGTGTCACAATATTAATATGATGTTGATATAATGCAAGTTAATGCACTGGAGCAAAAACAACATGTTCAGGAGGTGTTACTTCACTAGATAAATATTTGTGAGAAAAACTCATGTAACATAAGTAAACAGCCAAGCAACCGTCATCAGGTTTTAAATGTTTCTAAGCTCTGATTGGTGCATGAAAACACGGGATGTTACACGTTCCCAGATGAGCCCCGCCCACTTCTAAAACACAAAGAGAAAAGGGCAGAATCAGAATGTACAGAAATCTCTTGTGTAACAAACAAAACTGTTGTAATTTTAGCACATCACACCTGCAGGGTGTTTGATCAAGATTACCAGCTAAGACAGACTTACACCAGGTTTGTTTTTGTGAGGGTGATTTAAACCTTTCCTCAGTTACTGTGGAAACTCACCCCTCCCAGACCAGCCTGCTCCCAGTCTGACTAGTTTTCAAGCTTCACCTGCAGCTGAACCAGAGTTACAGTCAATCTGCCAGGCTGGAAAACTATTTTCTCTGCAGTCCCCCCTCGACGATTCCTCTAACTGCAGCACTGAGAGCATGAGTCAGTTTTACAGTACAAGTCAACGCCAGCTTGCAGACGTGTTACATTCATCACATTCTGACACTTGTTGCATATTTAAAATATGAGTTCAAACCTTTTTTTAGTCTGCAGTAACATTCCAGGTGCTTTTCAAGTGCACTGCAATTATGATAAAACTAATAATTAACTTTGACCACGGCTGCAGCCCTGTAAGTGGCATTTTAACATTTGTTCTTTCCTAAAATGGCACTTAAATAAGATTAGAGAAGCAGAAACCCAGACATCCATCTATTAAGATACAAGCAGCAGTTCTTAAAATGACTGACTTTGCACACTAAGCCCTGTTTATGAATCACCCCTCTGTCTCGCAAATGCATAACGTGTATTTTTCAAACTGTCAGAGCTCGTTGTTCTAATACGGTAAATCAGCTGTGAGTCCACAAGTTTTGACTGGAAATGGATTGCACCTGTGGCTCTGATGCAATCTGAGAGGTCAGTTTCTCACCGAGTGGGAACTCTCCTGCCTGACACACATCCAACGTAAACAAGGCCCGCAGTCACGCCAGTCTCGTGCTGCCATCAAAACAAACAGGCCAGGGCCGAGTGTGGACACATGGCATACGTGGCTTAGTCCCCTCCATTGACAGCCTAATTCCCCCCGCACTGCCTCATAAAGGGGTCTATTGACAGCCCTTCCTGAGCCCTGCTCACACACAAGTGACCCTCATTGTGAAAATATGTGTACCATCGTTTGGGGCAAGCTGCGGTCTATTGCCCTTCCCTTTAAAATAACAACATTTGGCTGAAACGGCATTTTGCCCCTTTCCTGTCATGATACTGTGACTCAGGGCTTTTCCACCATTTACAGTAGTTTGTAAACAAGGAAGTGGTGAACACTTCTCTGCAACCAGATGGGAACCTGTTGGACATCCTTGATCTTGGATTCTGTCCTGTAGTAATATCATTAGTTTGACTCGTGCATGTGAGGCGAGTCCATCTGTTAAAATCCACGTTACTCACTTCACTAACTGCAATGTTGTGTTTCAACTGCTCCATGGTCAGGAGGGGGAAAGCACCGCGGGTGGACCTGACAATCTGATCCCCTCTTCGTGTTTGACAAGGCTACCTAATCCCTTTTGTTCCACCCCAAGAGTCTATTTCAGAGACAACTGAACCCACTGTAACAGAAAACCAGTGACGCAAAGCAGGACATTAAACGCTTCTTACACTTATTTATTCATGGTTCTTTAAAAAACACACAGATCGACTTTTTTAAGGAGGTGCACTGGAGGCCCCAATGTCAATTCAAGGACGACTGTGGGAAGAAGCACAGGGAAGAGTGGACGTAGACAGGGCTCGATCTGAGCAGAGCTTACGCTGTGTGCTTTTAACAAATCAGTTTCAGTAGCAGATGTACACGACATCTGATAATGCACCAGTATTAAGAAGCATAGCAGTTTCTTGCAGTCATTATAATCATGGCATAAACATCTTAAGAACTTTTGACAAGGTCCCTTACTTGACAAAGTCTTGTTGATGTTCCCAGTGTTGGGGCTAAGCTATTGCAGACGTAGTTTACGGTGAAAGAAGGTGAACTACAGCAAAGCTATCCAAGGTAAACATCTAGTTTGGTCAACTAAAGCTACTTTATTTCAAAATACCTTGTAAAACGATCAAATTAACAATGTACATGTGATACGAAAATAAAACAAAATAGCTACAAAAAAAGTCTAATTCCAGCAAAAAATGTCACTCAGTTTAAGCTGCAAAAAGTTGTTTACATATGATCACAGGTTATATATTATTTTATTTATTTTTTTTTTTTTTTATTTAAGGTTTAGAGATCAATGACAATGCACATTAATTAAACTTTTTTTTTTTTTTTTTTAAATGTAAACATGCCAGAATTAGCCAAAAGGCTATTTTACATCTGCTGTCCCTGGACTGATGTTGAATAGTCACCCTAAAAGAATATGAAAGATTTAGTTACAAACATACAAATAATACATTAAAGAATAAGAAAACTAAATCTGAATAAAGATTAAAATACAAAGAACAATGCAAAAATTCATACATACACATGCATGCTAACAGAGACTCAGCTCAAACAGCAAACAGTCGTAACAGACAAAAAACAACACTGAGTAGCAGCACCAACATCAACAATTGATTACACATAACACATTAACAAACTGACAAGCCACAAGCAAGCAGGACATAGACAATAAGCACATTATAAAAAGCCATGCACAAAGAGCAACAATGATGCAAGACAATTAGTAAACTGACAGACAACGTGACATGACAGATGGCATCAAAAAGCAGCGGCATGCAGAGCAGCAAACATGGAGAAAATTAAATATATTATATTAATTATACATTTAATTTATTTATTTATTTACTTAATTTTTAAGATATTTTTAGGGCAGTTTTGCCTTTAATTGATAGGATAGTGAAGTGTGAAAGGGGGAAAGAGAGAGGGAGAGACATGCAGCAAGGGGCAACAGGCTGGAGTCAAAACCGGCAACAGCCTTGTACATGGGGCACCTACTCTATCCACTAAGCCACCAACACCCCTATATATTTAATTTAATTTAATTTAATTTAATTTAATTTAATTTTTATTTTGTTTCATTTTATCAATTAATCAATTTTGAAAAATTGGGGCTGCATGGTGGTGCAGTAGTTAACAGGTTAGGGTTAGGGTTAGGGTTAGGGGGGTTAGTCCTACTGTAGCATCAACAATCAGCTGTGCAGTGACATCACTAGTCAAAAACCCTGTATTAATAACTATAATCTGGAATTTTTGATATTAATGTCTTTAGTCAATTCTCAACCAAGAGTTTTACTTTGATTTGGCTTCCTGAAATTATTTTATTTTTAGGAATCATTGTCAAAATACATAATACAGTGCTCATATAAGCAGGGCTACTCATTTCTCTCATTGGTTAATTGAATTCAGTTACATTTGCCAGCAAAGACTCTGATGTCTACTTTTTTCTTTGCTACTCCTGAATAATTTTTTCCACCTAAATGAACTGGAGCACCGTTGCTGTGCAGTGTGTGTGCGTCTGTGTCACAGTGAAAGATGGGGGACAGGTCAAAGTCTGGTGAG